TCTGCAGGATCTGTTCCAAAGGAGCGTTCACAGGTCTGGCAGCTGGTCTTGACTGCTGGCTGGCTGCTCAGCCAGGACTGAGAGCTGGACCTTGAATCCACCCCGGTGTGGACCTATCTTGTGCATCTGGATTCCTCCCAGCCAGGTCACTGGGTCAGCTGAGTGTTCTCACCGTAACGATTATCACTGAGGGCAGTTTCTTACAAACCTCAATGTTTTTATTATAAGATCCAGCAATCATAGCTTTAGGTAATTATCTAATTAAATTGAAAACTTATGTCCACAAAATATAAGTAATTATAGTACCTTCATTAATAACTATCAAAATCTGGATTCCACAAAATGTTATTCCATGGGTGAATGGACAATCTGTGTTATATCTAACCAATGAAATTCTATTCAGGAGTTTAAAAAATGAGCTATAAAACTATGAAAGCACAAGAGTAAAATTTAAATGCAAATTAAATGAAATAAATCAATAAAATAAATGAGTACTTAATAAAATACATATACGTTTATTTATAAATATATGTTTGTCAATTTATTTATAAATACAAAAGAAATATTTCATAATAACTGGCAAATTGTGAGCTCCCACAACCCAAGAATGGATTTTACACTAGAGCTTGAAGAGAAATTTGCATGTGGGGAACTCAGCCATTGTGAGTGGAAAGGAGTTGAAGCTCACCCTAGTCCTTCTACAGCCCCTATGGGTGTCTCTACGCTTGTACTTATGTTCTGTGTAAGCCAGAGTATGGAAAGTACTGGTAATTTGGTATTTGAGAATCCTTAGAGACAAGTCCCTGGAGACTGTACACCTGCGAGGGGAGACCCCTGAGAACTTGGAGGAGGAGGAGGCTGCACAGTCGTCAGCTGACCCAGGTGAGGACGCTCTGCAGGGTCACCTGGGGGACAAGGCAGCAGAGCAGGATGAGAATAGCGCCACCTCCCTCTACACAGAGATGTTTGTACACTTATCACATGCTCACCACCAATCCAGGGGCCCCAGCTGTCAGACAACCATTCCCGTCCACTTCCCTTCTCCTTTACCTCGTGTCTAAAGTACTGGATATTCAAAGTTTGTGAGGCAGCAGCTACATGTGAAAATTGCGTTGATTTGAGACCAAGCTGGGTCTACCCCAGTGTCTATGATAATTGAGAACAGCTTTCCTGGCTCACTTAACTGGAGTGAGCTCTTCTTCCCTGAATCACCTTCACCACCAGGGATGTTCAAGTGCTGCCATGAACTTGGATTTGCTCATGTCAACGTATCCTGCAGTTTGTTTTTGGGACAAGATTGACATTTGTGCTGGAGGTAATCATTCCTATCATCATTGAAATGGCTTTCAGCCTCTAATCTTGCTATGAGGGCTGCTGGGAGCCAGATTTTCCTTACTGAAGGCCGCAGTCATCCTGGGGCTATGGGTTCCCGCCTGGCACATGCCAAGTGCAGCCTCTGTTATTGAGCAAGGTTTGAATCATGAACAACTTCTTTTAAAGAATGAAAACTGGTTTAAGCAGGCCTGTTTCACTGGGGCTGAAAGACGGAATAAGTGGGTTGCATGTTGCTCGGGTGGCCCTGAGTGCCTCCTATTGGGGCTAAGTGCCCCCTGCAGCCCAGCCGGTGCTGTCTCCCTGCAGGGAGGTTTGTGTCTGGGCTCCCACTGAGCTCCCCTCACTGTGTGTCTTGCACTGTGATACACGGCCGTGTCCTCGACTCTCAGATTGTTCATCTGCAGACACAGTGTGTTCTTGGTGCTGTCTCTGTAGAGGATGAAGCTGCCCTTCACAGAGTCTGCATGGTATGTGTTAAACATACTACTAAAGGTTGAGACCCACTGAAGTCTCTTTCGTAGATCCTGGTGGATCCAGCCCATCCAGTAGCTACTGATGGTGAACCAGAGGCTGGACAAGAGAGAGTCTGAGCCCCCCAGGCTGCCCCAAGCCTCCCCCAGGACTCCACCAGCTGCACCTCACACTGGACACCTGCAAACACAAAGACATCTTGGTCAGAAACTCACACATCCGCTGCTTCTCTCACTCACATAATCTCCCGTAGTTAATATTGAACTTTCTCCATTGTTTACCTTTTAAAATAGTAACAAGGAAAACCCAGCTCAGTCCAAACTCCACGGTGAGTGCTCTGTATTTGATTCCAATCACCGAATAGCAAAACTTGGGAATTCTGGGGCTGGGGCTCCTCTCCCAGAGACTCAGGGTCTGTGCTGGGCTCGTTCTCATCAGAAGAGAGAGGGCCCTATTTGCATGTCCTCTATCAATAAAGAAAGCTCTGTTTTAGGCACCTTAAGAGAGGTGCCCCAGAGCAGAAGTGAATGTCTTGGGGCAGTTTGGTGGCAATGAGGACTTTTTAGAAAATATGATAATTTATTATGAGGTTGCTGTGTTATAAACACTTAGCACTCATTATCTTACTCATTTTTACATATACCCACAAAACATATGATGCAGCTCTCAATTTTACTTCCATTTTACAGATGAAAAACTACGAACAAAACTGTAGACAGTTTGTGTGATGTGTTTGAGAGCACATATGAGGTAAGCGTGAGCCCTTTATCTAGGATTTTGCTCCTGCCTGGACCCAGCTGCTCTCTTGAACCAGCTCCACGACAGAGCTGAACTTGCCAGAGAGATTTGCTTAACCCCCTTCTTGTGATGAGAATATGTCAGTTTTGCTGCATTCTAGTGTTTGTTGAAAGAATGTAGGGAGGACCAGTTTTCGCATAGGTGTATTTCCAGGAGTCTCTGACATATCTTGTGTCAGTATATATGACTCTGTCAACCTTTCCCTACTAATTATCAATTTATTTTTAGTAGTTATAGGGAACCATGATTAACGTATAATAACCCACACATATGTCAATTGTACAATTTGTTAAGCATTGACATATGTGCACACTTCTGAACGATCATCATAATCAAGTTTGTGAAGGAATCCATCACCAGGAAAAGTCTCTCTTTGGTCCTCTGTAATTCCTCCTCCCACTTCCTCCCTTAACCCAACAAGTAGACACCAACTCCTGATGTTTGTGTTATTTTAGGTTAGTTTTCCTTTACTAAAATGTATGTAAATGGACCGTATAGTGTGTGCCTTATTTGTATTTTTTCACTCAATATCATTGTTTGTGAAAACAAACACTTTGCTGTGTATCAAGCATTCACAGACTGTAATGAGGAGAAGTACTCCAAGAATGATTGTATGACAATGCATTTGTCTGTTAAGCTTCTGATTGATATTTGGATTGTTTCCAGATTCTGACATAACAAATATAATGGATCCTCAGCTGTGGGCTGTACACGGCTGAAGACAACATTGTTCCTCCTCATAGTAGGACAACGACAACTATGCCGGAAAACTGCAATGGAGTGAACTGTCTTCAGTACATCAGATAATTGAAGTTATATTTCAAACAAAACTGAAATCTGGAGACAAACAAGTAGTTTACAAGAGAAACAGTATGGGAATAATAGCTTATCTGGGGCAGAGAGTGCCAGATGGCTTATAAACGAGAACAAGTATAACGGAGAAATACTTAACGGATTTCTTGAAGTGGAGTGTGGTGAAGTTGCTGTAGTGGGAAATTTTCAGGACATAGAATTAGGGAGACTTCTATTCCCTTTAAATAGTTTACCTCCAGGATTCAGGACGCATCCTAAAGAGCTCCTTCCCCAAGATAGTTCTGTCTGGGAGAGAGGAAAGACACCTACCTCTGACGTGTATCCAGATCCACCTCACTGATCACCTCTAAATACTAAGTAATTAAACTGCAGAGAGAAACCCACCAAAACCATTACTTTAAGACCCTAGTGGAAACCAATAGGAACTGGGAGAGGAACAGAGGAAACAACCACAGAGGGAATTTTAGCTCAGTCTATGGCGTGATTTCTCATCCTTTTTACAGAGCAACAGAGTTAAGTTCAAATTCCAACGTAAGTTTTTTTAACATGTCTTTCATGGGCTAGGCTTTTGTGTCATCATATTTGTTTCTGACACTTCATTTTTCTTCTGAAACACATTTTACTCTGTGGATTCCCCTTTCAGTACCACTTTAGGCCTCTGCCCTCGTTGTTGAGATTGGTTATTGAGCCTCACTCTGTGTCTGCACTTGCTGGGGGATCTGATAAGAGTGATTAGGGCTCCAGCCCATGGGCCTCAGGGTCTAGGAGACATTCAGTGACAATTTAGAAATAGAAAACAGAGGGAGATTGTGGGTGGGTTTCTGTGGGATACTGGAGGGAAGCAGAGAGTGGGCAGGACCAGGACTGGGTCCAGCTGGTTCCCATGTTCCAGGTCGATCCCCTGTGGAGGCTGAGAGATGTGGCCCCAGGGCTGCTGTCAGAGGCCCACCCAGAACATGGCCCAGCAAATGTGTGGTGGGTTTTCATCCCTCTGCTTATCCTCATGCTGGTTTCCTGGGGAAACCAGAGGGCTGCATCCCACTAGGGAGGTTGCTTTTCCATCCAGGAGACTGAGGGACAGCTACAGAAGGGGTCGATCCCTGATCCTCAGGGTCCATCCAAGTGGATAAAGAGCCGGATCTTAAACTGTAGCAGGGAGAACAGAGAACCCCATGGGCCAGATGTCCTAGGGGGATGCTCACAACCTGTGCAGTCAATGTGTGCCTGTCTGAGGGGAGAGAAGATGAGCTCAGCACGCAGGTGCCTGGACTGTGCTGGTGTTTCCCAGGGATGATGACAACCCTCAGTGTGTTGTCTTTGTCAAGATAGAAAAAACAGGATCCATAGGAAGGTGAAGGAGAGGTTGCTAGTCCCTGGTGATATGTCATCTGCAACAGACTATGTTACTTCCTTGTTTATTGGCTGCACTGAGAACATGAGAAATTACAGACAGAAGAAGAAACTGACATGTCCCTGAGGGCAGCTGAGACCTTGGAGAGGAAGTCCTTGATCCCACAGGAAATCCCATCCCCACCCTCTGCACCTGCCCCTGCGTCCCATCTCTATGTTTAGTGGGTCCTGTGTGCCCCCTGGTGTTCTGACAAAATCTGCAGCCCAGCCCCTCCTGTCTCCCTGCAGGGAGGTTTGTGTCTGGGCTCACACTCACTTCCCCTCACTGTGTGCATCGTAATACTCAGCTCTTGCACAGTAATACACGGCCGTGTCCCTGGTGGTCACGGAGCTCAGCTGCAGGGAGAACTGGTTCTTGGACGTGTCTCTGGAGATGGAGGTGCGGCTCTTGAGGGATGGGCTGTAGTTAGTGCTACCACTATAAGCTATGCTCCCCATCCACTCCAGCCCCTTCCCTGGGGGCTGGCAATCCAGCTCCAGTAGTAATAGCTGCTGCTTGTCATGGAGGCTCCAGTGACAGTGCAGGTGAGGGAGAGGGTCTGTGAGGGCTTCACCAGTCCTGGGCCCGACTCCTGCAGCTGCACCTGGGACAGGACTCCTGGGGACAAGGAGAATCAGTCCTGTCAGTCGTGTGAAGTCATAAACATCCCCAGAGACCCAGGTCTGACATCTGAGACACTCACCTTGGGGAGCCATCACCAGGCAAAGGAGAAGGCACAAGAGTCTCATCTTCTTCCAGACCAGAGCTCCGCCTTCCCCAGAGACCTCAGCCCTGTCTGAACAGAGAGCTGTGAGCTCCCACAGCCCAAGAGTGGATTTTATCCTCGAGCTTGAAGAGAAATTTGCATGTGGGGAGCCCAGTCCTTATAAGTTGGGGCGACTGAGATCAGAGTGCACAGACCTTCCAGGGAATCTGTGGGCATCTCTCTCTTGATTGTAGGTGTGTCTTGAGTCTAGGATGGGAAGACATTTGGGATTTGAGGCTTGTGTTAAACAGATTTCAGGACTCTCTGCTTTTCTGAACCCAAAGCTGCCTTCTGTCAGGCCTCTTCCCCTCCATCACTGCTGTAGCCTCAGCCTAAATATCAACCATACCCTGAGGATCTGGGTTTTGACTCCTCCATGCTGAGCCCAGGTCAGCTTTTTTCGTCTTTCCCTGTAATCTCTTGTGTGGTGCAGTTCTCATCAGGCTGAGAGTTTATTACCTTGTTATATTGTTGTATTACATGAGTTGCAGCTGGGCCTTGTGCTCTATTCATATTGTGCACTTGTGATTGGAAAACATGTTATATGTTGAAAACTTCAGGTGGAACGCAGGTATCCTCAATGCATCACTCAGCTGAAACCCAGCATGTCTTCTTGACACACTCAATGGGATATGCTCCACCCAGGGTCAACATTTATTTGCCCTTAGCCACACGAGCAGGAATGTGAAACCCCAGCTCCCTCATCTCAGGGGTGGAAACTCTGAGCCCTGTTCATCCCGAGTCCCTCTGCAGGGCAGGCGGAGGCTCCCCTCTGTGGGATTGTAGACGTGACACCTGTGCTCATCTCCTTCTATTCCCCTTACCTGTTGACTTCACATCCTTGACTGTTTCTACGGGCAATGTCTTAATAAATTGCTTGTATAATAATCCATTTCTTTGATTCTGCAACTCAGAGTCCTCCCTTGATGCAAGGCTATTAACACAGGGACTGGATATGGGTGGGAGGGAATTGTTTCATAGAAAACCTTCGTAACAATGATTTTGACACAGCACACAGTCCTTCAGTAGCCAGGCAAGGAGGGGATGGTATTTAAACAACCTTTGCCTTGTCAAAAATGAATGGGGGCTACCCCGGAAGGTACTGGAATATAACATTGGGTGTCTAGTTCTAACAAGAAATTGCACAGGTAATATTCATAGTCCTGAAAGGCAGAGGCTGAGCTAGATGTGTGACTCCAAACACACATGCAAGTGTATTTAGGAATCATGACAAAGACATTTCAGGGGTTTGGCATCATGGTTAACCAGCTCATCAAAATCATAGAAATACACCAAGATATCCACAATTATTACCTTTTTGAAAGTCATATTTTCATACAGCAACAGATATATTACTGCTAACTTTTGAAAATATGTATATATATATATATATATATATATATATCATTGTAAAAACAAAAAGGAGAGCTCTCAAAACCCTCTTCCCCTCATGTCAAACACTGTCACATTAATTATCGCTGAGTAGCTATATTTTCTTTATAGGAAGCTGAGAAAGGCCTCCTTTAAAGTTGGAGGCTGTGTAATCTTGTCTAAGGCTCTGTGACCACTCTTCCTTTAAGACCACCCTCAAGATATGCCAGAAGACCGTAACCAATTTCATCAGAAAGAATCACACTTTGAACTGGAGAAGAAATAAAAATAGAACCAAGGACTAATGAAAACTGAGCATCTTCCTAATTTTCAATTGATGATGGCAAGCAGTAATTGTCTAATTTTCTCAGTATGTGCTGTTAGATAAGAAATTGGGGCTCAGAGATAGGTGAGTAGAGGTGGGCCCAAGTCATTGATTTACTTGTTGAAAGGAAACTGAAAACTCCAACAGCTGCCCCCTAACTCCCCAGTTTCCCTCTGCACCTGCACATCAGTCTGGGACCTGTGGCCAGCAGGACCAGAGAGACCCCTACAGAACAGACCCGTCTCCCAAGGGTTCCTGCAGTTTCCTCTTCTTAGTGTTCTCGGATCCTTCGTCCCAGGACGTCCTGAGCTCTGGGATGTTCAGGAACAAGAGCTCTGTCCTGCTGTGTCCTTATCACTGTCCCTCTACTTTAATGTGTATGGCTTCTTCAAATCTCATGCCATGCAATCCGTCTGCCAACCAGGAGCATCCTTGTGTCCATCATCTGTGGTCCTCCTTCAGGTAATTCTCTGTCCTTCCCTGAGGATTTATCAATGAGTTTGCTGTTCTTTGGTCAACAATACTCATTATAATTGGTGATGCCTAAAGATCCGACGTAGACAGAATTTCCCAGACTCTAGCCATCAATTACCTTGATTTCATTCTCTAAATGGCTGTGACATCTATTCCATCTCAGCCGCTCAACTCTATAGTCCTACGTTCAAAATTGTGATTTTCATTAATTGAACTGAATATGTATCTATCTATCATCTACCCATCTACTTATAGAAAAATCCACTGTGCATAGTCACTGAAAAATGACCACCCTAAGACTGACCAGATTACGCAGTTTTCAAACAAAACTTTTCTATTAGAATTTTCTTAATGATTGTATATAAGCAAGATCATTAGCCTTTTATGGAAGTAGAATATAAATATGATAAGCAAAAACAGTCATGTAACCAAGACCACAATCAAGTTAGTGGACACTTCCATCAGCCTGAAGAAATACATCATTTCCACATTTCCACTTCTCGTCAATCCCATTTCAATGCCACAGCCCTTGGCACACACTGATTGTCCTGACGCCCCTTGAGTCTTGCAGATTCCATGGTCTATGCATGGAAACATACAGCGTGTGGACTTTGGAGTTGGGTTCATTCATGTAGGGCCCTGCATGTGAGATCCATCCATGTTCTTGCATGTGCTGCTTTTTTCTCCTTTTAACTACTAAATAGCAATCCATTGTTGGAGGACATCTTGGCTGCTTCTGCTCTGTATTGCTTATAAATAAAGCTGTCATAACCAGCTGAATACAGGTTTCTGTGTGTACACATAATTTGTAAGTTTTTTAAGTTGAGGTACAAATTGACACCACAAATTGGAGACATTTAATGTATATATCTTGGTGAGTTTGGGGATAAGTATACCCCCGTGAACCAATCATCACAACTAATAACATCAATGAAAATATCACCTTCTTAAGTTTCCTCCCTCCTTCTTTTTTTGTGATAAGATTTTTCACAAGACCTATTCTCTTAGAGAAAATTTATGTATAGAGTACAGTATTGTTAACCATACGCATTGAACGTTAGTTCTTATGTCCCTGGTTATATAACAAGAATTGGCATGGGTGGTTCACATCGCATTTGTATGTTAGATCTTATGAGAGAGGGGAAGATTTTCCAAAGTTCAAGTCCCTCTTTGCATTCCCACCAGTGGCACCTTGCCCCATGTCAGTCCCTAAATTATTGGGGGAAATGCTTAGGATGTTTACCCTGTGGTGCAAATCATAGGGAAGCCTGGAGAACACAGTTATAGCTCAGGGAGCTCTTTGTTCATCACTCCTGAACATGCCAGGACACAAGCTCCAGAACTCCTCTCTAGACTCTGGGTTCAGCTAGCATCTATTTTTGGCTGAGGTCCAGGCTTTGATTTTGGGGGTGTGTATCAAAGAGTGCTGTGTGAAGGCATCTGTCAATTAGTGGATCTAGTAATTGGATTCTTCTGGACCTTTCTCATGATCTGTTTTTATTTGATACCATAGATACACTCATATTTATCCAAGACATAATGTGGGTCGACTAGAGTAGGCTAGATTCTATTAAAAAAAACAAAACAACAAAAACATCTAAACAGGTGAAATAGCTTAGATGACAGAGTGACGTAATGCTGTTCACCTTTGAGTAAAGATCCTGGACCTTCCCCATGAGTAGTGGGTGTAAAACTGTTCTTCAGAATAAAAGAGGAGGCTTCTTCTGTGGGAAGCTCCAAATGCTGCTTCTTCTATACAACCCAGAGAAAAATCCTAACACTTGGAGTTACTTAAACTGAAAATCTCAAACCTTCTTATCACACCCAACATATTACTAACCATTTTAATGCAAATATCCCCAAAGATGACAAGGCATTACATCAAAGACCCTCTACATGGGTCTAAAGCTCAAGCGATCATAAGAAATGACTACACAGTTTTAGGGCCCAGTGTAAATCAATAGGAAGGGTCCATTCCTAAAAGTTCAGAATTTAATGACAGTGAGAGCAGACCACTGCACTTCTAAGTAAGGCACAATTCCAGTTTTTGTACTCTTTCTAGTTGAATGGCTTTAAAAGACTCCCATATCTTTAGGTCAATTCTGTAACAGGAAAGTGTCCTCTTTTTTGCTCATGATACCAAATTGGGCTCATCTCACCAGATGTCCTGGTTAGGAATTGTGGAAGTGATGCGTTCCCTAGCTGTCACCCTGAGCCACATAGGCTGCATGGTGCAGACACGTTATCAAGACTTCTTTCCATCCATCAGACTTTGGAAGGAAATAACTCACATTTAATGTCAGTGATTTGCTCTAAGAAGAGAAGAGGAACATGGGGACAACGAGACCACCTTGCAGCATTTACAACGTCCTATTCAATTGCAAAAATTGAGGTATAGCAGGTTGATTCGATGTGTGCAAGTTTTCCTCTTGTTAGCTCACTAAGTGTGCCATCAAATTGGTTGATACTTTTTGGGAATGTAAATGAGTATAAAGAAAATAATACTTTAAAATATTTCTGTAAGAATAATAATCTGCTATTTTTTATTCATTATCCAACTTCTTAAATACACTTAGCTCATTTGTTCTTGCTGTATTTTCAAAATTTTCTCCTAAAGATAGGTCTAGTCATGGATTTCATTCTCAGTCCTCCTTCATGCTTTTTCCAGATCTTTAGCTCAAAAAAATCTGAGTATATTTGAGGAAGAGATATATGGCTAGATCTCTGAATATATGGAAAACGTGAAGATTGGGTGTCCCACGGGGATGCTAACAAAAGTGACCTCAGCAGAGGGGCATTATCTTACTCACGTGGACAGGATGACCATTTCTGCGAATACCAGTCAGCCTCTTTCCTCAGCAGGGACTGTA